AGTAGTGTTCCCTGGTGTGACTGTCCCACAGCTGTTTCGTCCACCTGTCGACTGATGGGCGCTTGGGCTGCTTCCAGATCTTGGCTCTTGTAAATAGCACTGCAATGACCATAGGGTGCATATATTCTTTCGAATTAGTGTTAAGTCTATTTTTAGAGAGGAGTTCATGGGGGCTCAGACAAGGCCCAGAGAGGTTAAGTAAGTTGCTCAGAATTACACAGGGAGTAAGGAATTCAAGCCTGTCCCTGCCACCATTATGCCCTCACCGCCAGACAGCAGCACCTCTGTGAGCATCTGGCTGTGTAGTGCTGGTGTGAGCACCCAGGGAGCACAGAGAAGGAGCCTCAGCAAAGGTGAGGCCAATGTGAACTGGAGTTCATGGGCATGTGTCCTGGCAGTGGGGGTGAATGCTGGGCTTTGAAGAATGAAAGAGCTGGGGGGGAGAGGGGGGCAGGGAAGGGACTTTGTGAAGGAGAATGGTAAAAAAGTGAAGGTCCAGAGCAGAGGATGTTCAGAGTAAATAGTGGAAAATGCACCCTCTTTGAGGTCAAGCCTTCTCTGCCCCTCCATTTCCCCATCTGTAAAATGGGAATAATAAAATTACCCACCTCATGGGATGACTGAGAATCGAATAAAGTCATAATTGTAAAAATACTTTTTTTTTTAATCCTCACCTGAGGATACTTTTTCCATTGCTTTTCAGAGAGTGGGAGGGAAAGAGAGAGAGAGAAACACTGATGTGAGAGAGACATCGATCGGTTGCCTCTTGCCTGCGCCCCAGCAGGGGCTGGGGATTGAGCCTGCAACAAAGCTACATGCCCTTGGCCAGAATCAAACAGGGACCCTTCAGTCCACGATCCAAGGCTACAGCCACTGAGCAACTGGCTGGGCTGCAAAAAGACTTTCTGAATAGTAAACTGTGGCATATGACAAGTCATGTGCATGAAAATATTACCCTGATAGGCATGTGCACGTGACTTCCATGTGGAATTTCACGCGGTATTCATATTCATGGGCGTGAGGGGGTACAGAGAATGAGGGGAGACCACAAGTGCAGGGGAGCTGGCAGCTGGGAAGAAAGAGGGATTCTCTATAAATGGGGCTGCAATCCTGAGACCCTTCCTCTTCCCCCGCAACAGCCAGGGACATTGTCCTTCCGGCTCCGGAAAACAGCCTTCACGTCGCAGTACAGGGGACCCTATATAGGAAATAGGGCCAGACACGCGGCCTTGAGTGTCCGTTCCAGCACTTCCGAGTCACCTCCTCCCTGTGAGCCTCCATTTCCTCACCATAAAGTGAGGACAAGCCTAGTGCGCAGAGTGTCCTGAGGGTCACATGGGGGCGTGGCAGCTTAATACGCTGTGAGTTTTCAGGTCTCTAACTCTGCCTCCTAAAGGTGGTAGGAAGCCTCAGGACAAGAAGCTAAGGGACTGGGATTTGGCCCTGAAAGGCACTTTTCCTAGGACAGCGAGCCCAGGCCCTCTGGTCTGCGCCCCATCCTACTCCACCCTACAGCCCTGGCATTGAGGAGCCCCTCAGGCGCTGTGGGCGTCTGCTGCCACCTGCAGGCCAGGCCGCATGTGGCACTGCCTCTTCCTGTCCAGCTGGAGGGGGCATTCCCAGCCTTCCTCTAGTTAGAAGGGACAGCATTGTTTCTCCCGTCTCCTCCTGATGAAGCTCCGTGAAGGCCACAATGACCTATCTCTATATCTCTAGTCTCCAGCGCTGGTGCAGGCACAGAGAAGGTGTTAAACATGTGATTATGGAATGAATGAATGAATGAATGAATGAATGAATGAATGAATGAATGAACAAATGGCCTTGTGGTGATCAAAATTACACAACAGGAGGAAGGTAGCTGAGGGTTATTAATACTAGTACTGGTAACTCACTGAGGTTTGTAAATTCTCCTGCAGAGGCCTAAGGGCACAAGGGTGATTCCTAGTTGCCTGGGCCAAGGTTAGGGGTTATGGTCCTAGATGTTCCAGGGACTCTACCCTTACTCTGGGGGAGTACAGAGCTCTTCTCCTTTTTCTTTCTTCCCTCTGGGCCAGGATCTTCCTCAAGAAAATGCCCTCAATCCGGGAAAGTCTGAAGGAGCGTGGCGTGGACGTGGCCAGGCTCCAGGCCAAAGGGAGCCAGTTCTCCATGACATTCTCATTCAGCAACAGCACCTCTCCCGTGGTCCTCACCAACTATCTGGATGTGAGTGCAGACCTTGCTCCTTCCATCTCCTTTCTCTCTTGGGCCTAAGGCTTTCTTTGTTCTTTCTGGGCTGTCTTTGACTGAGTCGCTGAGGAGCACTAAGCACCCCACCAAGTTGCCACTTTACAGCTGAAAAGCCTGAGGCAGAGGGCAGGGAAGAGCCCAGAGGCAGGGTTAGGTTTGGAACTCTGAGCTCAGGAATTCAGGCTCTGGGCCTTAAGGCCAGGAGTCACTGGTGGGCAGGAGCCGCATATGACCTCAGATGCAGGTTTCTGTGACCAGGCTCGGCACAAACCACTGCTTACTGTGTCGGTGGTTCCTCAAGGAGTGACCCACTTCATTTTCAGTATTTTTATTTTGCCTTCTTGTCTCACTTCCTGGGAAGTCATAAGACAGTGCTAAGCCTCCCATTCATGCCCTACTGAAAAATGGAAACCCACAGAAGCTGCATGATCTGCCGAATCTCACCCTGAGGGCCAAGGTGGGTACCAAGCAAGACCCCAAGGCCCAGGGCTCCCCAAGTCCCTCCAGCTGCCTCTTTCTTTCACCCCTACAGACCCAGTATTATGGCGAGATTGGCATTGGCACCCCGCCCCAGACCTTCAAAGTCATCTTTGACACAGGATCGGCCAACCTCTGGGTGCCCTCCACCAAGTGCAGCCCTCTCTACACAGCCTGTGGTGAGCCCCAGGCCCTGTGGTCCTCTCCCCAAGCCCCCTGCCTTCCTGGGCAGTCCTGCCTCACTCCCAGCTAAGTCCCTCCTGCTGTCATTTGAACTGTTTCCTCTCTGCCTCTGTTCCCACTGCCCCTGGGAGAGAGGAAAATGTCCTAGATTTCCTGGTGTGGCCATCAAGGTAAAACAGCAAGCTTCAGGAGACTCCAGCCCACCGAGGAGGCCACTTCTCACCCTTCCTGAGATTGAGAGAGGACTGACTTCTCAGACCCTCCAGGCACTTGGGCTCTTCCATCCTATCCTTAAGTCAATCTTCTTGTCACCCCAGTGTTAGAAATTACTTTCTATTATTATTATTAATATATGTTTTTATTGATTTCAGAGAGAGGAAGGGACAGGGAGAGAGAGATAGGAAAACCAATGATGACAGAGTCATTGATCGGCTGCCTCCTGCATGCCCCCTGCTGGGGATTGAGCCAGAAACTCAGGCATGTGCCCAGACCAGGAATCGAACTGCAATCTCCTGGATCCTAGGTCGATGCTCAACCGCTGAGCCACGCCAGCCAGGCAGAAATTACTTTCTAATGCTTCATTTGAGACAGAATTCTGAGAGACATGGGCACATAACAGGGGCCCAACAAACATAGTCCTTGATTGATAAAACATTTTTCCAAGCCTCTGACCAACCTCAGGACCACCCCATCCCTGCACCTAAGTCCTTAACCACACAGGCCATCCCCATATGCACCTGCCTCCGAGGCCCCCCGCCTGGACCTCGCTGGCACAGACCTGAGCCCATGTTACTCTGCCAGAGATTCACAGCCTCTACGACTCCTCCGAATCCTCCAGCTACACGGAGAATGGGACGGAATTCACCATCCACTATGGGTCCGGAAAGGTCAAAGGCTTCCTGAGCCAAGACATGGTGACTGTAAGTGGGACCAGCCCAGGCCATCTGACCCTCTGCCCTTCTTGTCCCCAAACCTCTCCTGCCACTATAGGGTCCACACTTGGGAGAGGTGACATCCAGTTCACCTTAGAGTCTGGGAACAAACTGGACGCAGCAAACCCAAGCTCCTGGCTCAGTGCTGGGTGATTTATGGAGGCTTTTGCATCTAACACATAAAGGGCTGGTCTGAGCCCCAGGGCCTCCAGTCAAGTAACCTGCCTGAGGTCGCCTAGCTCTGACCAAGCTCTTCACAGACCCTAGACTGAAGTCAGTCAGAGTCAGGGTCAGCAGTACTGTTGACATTGTGGTCAGGGTTAGTTTTCTGGTCAGGCATAGGTTTTAAGGTCATAGTTAAGGTTAGAGTTTAGGATTAGGGTCAGGGCCTGGTTTTCTTTTCCACTTGGCCTGTGTCTGACCCTTTCCCCATTTTAGGGTTTCTCCAGCCCCCGCAAGTGTCAGAGTTGGAGAAGGGCTACTCAGGAAACCTAAGAAAACCAGTGTGAGCCCTTACCATCCCCTTGTCCATGAAATCAGGGAAAAGGAGCACGAAAGGCAGGCCCTCAGCCCACAGTGGGGTGGGCACTGAGCCCAGTCCTGTACAAGCAAAAACTGGGCCATTGGAGAAGGGGTATGGGGGCTCCTGGCATCTTTTCTATGACTGTTTGGCAGTACCACCTTCTCAGCCTCTGCCCCTTCCAGCTGCTTGGCATATTAGAGGAGAGGGTATGTGTGGGGGCTGACAAAAGGCCTCATCCCAAATTGCTATACCCTGGAACACGTGCAGCCCCAAGGCCCCGGTGTGGAAGCCCAGACTAGACCCTGGTCAGGGTGGGCAGTAGGTTTAGTCTCCTCTGGTCCTTCCTTCCGTAGGTGGGTGGAATCACGGTGTCGCAGACGTTTGGAGAGGTCACGGAGCTGCCCCTGATACCCTTCATGCTGGCCAAGTTTGATGGGGTTCTGGGCATGGGCTTCCCTGCACAGGCTGTTGCTGGGGTCACCCCCGTCTTTGACCACATCCTCGCGCAAAGGGTGCTGAAGGAGGACCTCTTCTCTGTCTACTACAGCAGGTGGGCCTGGGACTCT